GCACACAAACGCACGCACGCACGGCCCGGCACCCGCGACGGGAGCACACGTGCGCGCGCGCCCACGCACGTACATAGGCACGCACACTCAGGGCCAGGTGCCCGCCCTAGCGCAACAGGTGGGCCACATAGGCCCTGAAACCTTTTGGCGAACCCATTTCCTTCGTGGAAAACCTGAGGGACCCTCCCGTCAGGTCCAGCACCAGGACGCCCGCTTATTGATTGATTGATTTATCTATCTATTTATTTATTTTCGGGTGCCAGGGGTCTCTCCAGCCCCAGAAACCTAGGTATATGCTTAACCCACCCACACTCCCGTGTCGCCAAAAAATGGGGTGCTGCCAGATCAAGCATAGTCTCCCTACAAATCAGCCCCTATCTAGATGGGCTCACAGGAATGCGGGCCTCAGGGCACCCGGAACACTTCCTGGTGGTGCTGATCTTATTCTGGAGATGAAGTGGGTGGGGTGGGGCGTTTTCCAGGAGCGCTCTCCGGTGGACTGCCGCATCCAGCACCCTCCCTTTCCTGCAACTCTCTGAGTTTGTGTTCTCAGAGGGGAGTAGATGCCCCCAGCCCCACTGCCTCTCACTTTAATCCTGCAGGAACAGGGGTGCAGAAACCAGATGGGTGGTGTGTGTGTGGGGGCTTTGCAGTGTATGAGGGGCACTTTTGTGAAGGAGCCCAGGCCTGCTTCTGGGGGCCTAGGGAGGGACTACACTGACAGCTAACCCCACCTTCAGTATGGGAGTCAGTCCCCAGGAGGCTGGCTAGTGGCAGGGGCTGGCCATGCATACCCCAGCCACCCCCACCCCCACCCCCATCACTCTGGGCCCAGCTTTAGGGGGCCAGGCAGGGGCTGGTTGCACAGAGGCAGGGATGGGCCCAGGGTCTGGGAGGGTTCCATCAGCTGAGCCGGCTTCTGGGCTGGTGCCTCCTTTTGGTCACGTGATCCTCTGGCCTCACTCTCTTCTGCCGGGAAGGAGGAGGGGGCGCCCAGGCCTTTCAGCATCCAGCTCCTCCCTGGTTTACTGATGGCCTGAGGTGTGGGGGGGGCGGGGGGCACTAGGAGGGGCTGGGAGAAGGCCTATGTTGGAATCACCCAGCCCCGGAAATGTGCAAGGTCAGGAGCAAATCGAATTTAGAAGCGCTGTGTGTGTGTGTGTGTGTGTGAGAGAGAGAGAGAGAGAGACTGGTTTTATTTAGTTTATCTGTGTTCCTGTCTAGAGGGTACACTCCTCTCTGGAGAGCTTTGTAGTGGTCACCGCTGTCCCTGAGGGTAGGACTGCAGAAGGAGCAGAAGTTGCAGTGCTTGCTAGGTGCCCTGTAGACTCGGCCTCCTTTCACTCTCACCTGGGTGGGGGTGGGGGTGGGGTGGGCGCAGTAGCTAGCATGGCCAGCCACTCCACCAGCAGACATCTGTCTTTCCAGCCCCCACCCCCCTTTTCTTGAGAGACAAGCACATCTTTCTTCTCAATCTCTTGGGACTTGGACAGGACAGTGGGGAAGCCACAGCAAGGCAGGTGCAGGGGCTCTGTGTAGCTTTGCAAATCCCTTTGCCTTCATGGGCCTCAGTTTCCCCACCTAAGATACTGAGATTAGCTCCAAGGGCTTCCAGAACTGCAGAATCGCCTGGAGGGCCTCCCCTAAGCGTCCTCACTGGCTGGGGGCTGTGATTCCGGTGGGCTGCCCACATTGGACCTTGCTAGGCTGTCTTCCTGCTCCGAGAGAGTGAAGAGGGCAGGGTGGGCCAGGCCACCATTAACCAGGGGTGGTGGTGGTGGTGGTGTGGGAGGCTGGTGCAAGGGAGCAATAAGGGAGAGGAAGTATGAGGCGGGAAAGGCCGGCGTTGTCAGTGGCTTCTGTGGTCCGTGCAGAGTGACCTCTGCGAAGGCATTGGCATTGACAGTCCATCTAAATGAGGGTTGACAGCGTCCGGCTGGCCAGCGGGTATTCGGCTGCCCTGTCAGCTTCTGCCTCGGCCAGCCACAGACAAGGCCCAGCCTGTGTCTCCCTTGGCTCTCCCTTGGTGGCACGAGAGGCTGGCAGGGGGGTGGGGTGCCTGTCAGTGTGTGTGCTGGGGCCCAGCAGCAGGGTGGGGATCACGCCCCTTTGATCTGTCAGCCAGGCTGGGAGCAGGTAACTCACCTGGCCTCACAGGTGCCCTCCCTCCCTTCTGCAGCTGGCGTGGGGGGTGGGGCAGGGAGGAGACTGTTTGTTTTGGCTGCCTCCTGGCCATGCCCTTACCCTGCCTGGAACCCCGGGATCTGGGGCCACTTGGTCACCGTCACAGCACCAGCCCTCCTAGCCCGGGCTCCTAGGGGCAGGAAGGGGAGCGGCTCACCTGAAGAAACCTCTAGACTTGCATGCAGGAAAAGCAAACTCTTGGTCTTCCACCATCCCAGACCCCAAGCAGGTGCCCCTGCAGGTCTCCCTCAGGCTCCTCTCATCCACCCCTAAGCCCGGAAGGGGCTGCCAGCCCACAGGGCGCTGCCTGTGTGGGGCTGGCGCGCCAGGTCCTGTGGTGTAGCACTGGGGACACGCCAGAGTGACCCTCTGTCTGTCACCGGGGGCAGACTCTCCACCCACCCGTTGTCAGACTCAAAACTGTCCACAGGTGGCCCTTGCTGCTACCCTCAAAGGCTCCCGCCCAAAGAGTGTTGACCGTGAGGGCCCATTGTGACTGTGTGCCCTTGAGGCGATGACTGCTCAGAGCAGAGCTGTCTGGCTGTCTGGCTGTTTCCTGTAAGCTGATCACCAGCAGGGCACCTCACCAGTGCGCCACCAGCAGGCCTTTGACAGCTCTTTGCCAGGCACCGTCACCCCAGGCAAGGTTTTCTCAGCCTCATTTAAACGAGGAGGAAGCGGAGGCTTTGGGCTGCTACACGGCTTACTCCTGGCTACTCCACACTCAGCGGCAAAGGCAGAACCCGATCCCGCAGCCCTGGGTCCTTCTCTGTCAGGGCCTTCGCCACCTCGCAGCACTGCTGACATTTGGGGTGGTTGTCCTGTGCATGGCACGTCCCTAGCCTCTACCTACTGGCTGCCAGTAGGACCCCCTCCCTCCAAGCCGAAGCAACCAGAAACGCTTTCAGTTCCTGTTGGAGAACTCTTCCCTGTACAGGGACAAAGAGCCTCATGTCCAGGAGGGAGGATGCAAGGCCCCCATGGTGACTGGGGCAGGGGGGTGTTCTGGGTGCCCCTTACTAGCTCTGGAGGCGGAGCAGACAGAAGCATCAGGCTCTGGGGACAGGTGGTGGGTACAGCAGGTAGCCAGTGCCTGGCTGCGAGTCGGCAGGAACGTGTGTCCACTGCAGTGTCATTTTCAAGTCCAGGGGCTGGCGGTGAGCTCTGGGCCTCTGTGGTCTCATTACCGGGAGCCTATGAAGCAGTGACCTCCCTGCTTCAAAAAAGTAACCTCTTTGGAAGCCAATTGCTGGTGGGCTGGGGAGAGGCTAGCCCAGGTGGCCCTTCTGTGGGGGAGGTGGGAGACTCGTGTGCTAGAGCACACCAGGGCGACAGGCCAGTGTTGACTGAGCACCTATAGTGCGCTTCTCCCCTCTCCTGCCCGCCCGCCCCCCCAGCCCCAGGCTCTTCTGCCTCAGCCTTGGGGGGGGGGGCTCTATGGCTTTGTTTCCATGCGCTGTCAGGTAGACCTGCATCTGGGGCTTTCACTCAGCCCTTTGGGGTTTTTGCCAACGGTCCCATGGTGGGCCCAGGAGAGTGTGGCCCCTGCGCCAGGTGTCGATTTGGGAGTTGACCTTTGGACCCTTCCCTTTGGGTGTGTGTGGATCATTTCTTCACAGATACCTGCTGCTCCTTCTGTGTGTGAGCCAGGAGGCCTGGCAGCCCCCTTAACCAACCCCCCCCCCTCGCTTTCCTCACTGCCTCTCCTGCCCCCTCTAGGCAGAATTAGATTCCAATAAAATGTTCCTCAACTCCCTTGATTATTTTAGCTCCAGGCCCAGAGAGGGCAAGCGGACAGTCTGAGGTCACACAGTGCATAGACAGGAATCTGGTTTGGCTGCCAGGGGGTGTGGCTCTCCCTGAAGACTTGCTCTCGGTGGGTCTTGAGCTGGCTGCACCTTTGGTCATGAAGGGCATCTCTGCCCAGGAGCTAGCTGGAAGTGAACTTGCTTGGAGATGGAGATGGGGAAGAGGAGGAGGGCAGCTGAGCTGTGGATTCGTGTGCTGCTCACTAGCTGTGCCACAAGGACATGGGAGGAAGGTACCCAACTCTTGGCCCAGCTGCTGCTGCTGGGACCCCAACCCAGCCTGTCCTCCTCGAACCCCATCGACCCCCAGACACCAACAGACGCCTCCGTGCCACATTTAGACAAAGGAACTGAGACTCAAGGAACTATAGAGTCTCTGGATGATGGCAGGCACCCGGGGGTCACTGTGGGTTCGGTGCTGGACCGCTACCTGCAAGGTCAGTGGGTCAAACCCATAAACTGCTCCTGGGGCTGGTCCAAGATGAAGTTGTCTGCTCCAGGAGAGAGTGACCGTCTCAGAAACCCTATATAGGGCCACCAGGAGCTGGAGCCTTGCTGGCGTAGTGTTTATGCATTGGGCTGCAATCCTCAAGGTCGGCAGTTCGAAACCACAACAGCACCTCGGGAGAAAGATGTTAGACTCTCTCCTCCGGTAAAGAGTTCCAGTCTCAGAAACTGACAGGGGCAGTTCTCCCCTATCCTGCAGGGTCTCTTTGATTCAGCATGGATTCGATGGCAGGGAGTGTTTGTTTGTTTATGAGTTGGGATTGACTCCGTGCCAATAGGTTTAGTGTTTTGTTTTGTTTTGCGTGGTGGTAAAAGATTAACGATCTTGGCTGATAACCCAAAAGGTTGGCTACTGAAATCCACCGGAAGTGCCCTGCTGGACCCAACAGCAGCTGGTTAGCCAAGGAGAAATAGAGGCACAGGGTGGTCAGGCCTGTGCGTGTGCCAGGGGGGCCTGGCAGCACCCTCTCCTCCCCTTCCCCCGCCCCTTGCTGTCTCTAGCAGAATTAGATGCTAGTCAACGGTTCAGCTCCCTCTATACTGCCGTGAGGAGGTCAGTCGGCGGAGCCCTTCCTTGCCTCAGCCCTTCCACCATTGATGCTGCCCGGAGCGTGTGTCTGGGGGCCCCAGTCAGCCTGTGTGTGTTTGCGCGAGCTTCAGCCCTCGGTCACGTGGGGGCACCTGACCCAGTTTCTCATCCCCTTGGCAATGACTGTCAGTGTGCATCTCAGCCTCTCCCCTGGCCCCCAACTACCTTTCTACAGACTTCTGCCCTAACCCCACGGATCTCTGGGGATTATGGGGGATGAGGTAGTAACCCTCCTATTAGACCGCACCCGCTTTGTGGTGGGACCCGAGGCTTCCCAGGAGGCAGGCTGGCTCTGAGTGGGTCCTTCCACAGCCCTTACTAAGTTTCAAGTGTTTCTGGTCAGAGGCCAGAGGGCCTCTAAAAATAGGGTTTGACTGGGCCTGGGGCGTGGCGAAGCCTTCAGGCTTCCCTGCCAGGCCGAGGATCCCCACTCTCCTCCTCCTTGCTGGAGACTCAGGCCATCTTGTTCATGCGGCCGCCAGAGACTTGGCAAGAATGTCACCATGAGTTGAATCGGAACCGACTCCAGGACCCTGGCTTTGGTACCCAGGCCCTGCCATCAGAAGGATGTGGGTTGGAAAACATTCATTGCTATAGCACCTCGGGGGCAAGCAGTGCGACATCTTTTTTTAGCCTCTGTTTTCTCATCTGTAAAATGGGTAGTGCGTGCCCTTGATAAATGCTGGCTGTTACCAGCTGTCGGGCGCAGAGGGAGAAGCAGCCACAAGCCGACTGTGGCAGCCTCCTGGGAACCTGGCAGGGCAAAGAGACACCCCACATCAAGTGGGACAATGCAGGCTCAGATTCCTGGTGCCCTGGTTGTGTAGTGGTTATGCATTGGCCTGCTAACTGCAAGGTCAACGGCTCGAAACCACCAGGCTCTCCGTGGGAGAAAGATGAGGCTTTTTACTCTCCTAAAAAGTTACCTTCTCAGAACCCCCCAGGAGCAGTTTCCCGTCCGATAGGGTTTCTATGAGCCAAGACGGCCTCAGTCCCGAGGCATGTGTGTTTCTTTGAAGGCTGGTGTTCTTGCTGGGACGTGGGGGTGCCGCCTTTGTGCTCCGGCCTCTGTCCTGGATATCCATTTGCCTGTGGCCTCAGGGTTCCTTGGGGCAGGTGGTTGGGCGTGTGTGGAGGCGGGAGGAGGGGTAATGCCCGTGGCTGGGGATCCCTACTTTCGACTCACTCGCTGCCCCTCCTGTGTCACCTTCAGGGGGACCCCATTCCCGAGGAGTTCTACGAGATGCTGAGTGACCACTCCATCCGCTCCTTCGATGACCTCCAGCGTGTGCTGCACGGTGACACCGGAGGTAAACGGTGTCCTGTCAGCGCTCGGGTTTCCGAGGACCCGAGGGCGTCCCTGCCCCTTCTTCCTCAACAGCCAAGGAACCGGGGCAGGGGTGGGTTGGTACCTGGGGCCTGGAGTGTGCCAAGAACAGCCACCCACATGTGGGTCTGGCTGGGCGTGGCAGGTAGGGAGAAGGTGTCCAGGGCATCTGCTGAGGACTTATCCCGAGAGGGACCCGGCCAGTGAGGGCGGAGCGGGAGGAATACTCTCCCCGGCCCCTGGCTGAGGACCTGGCCTCCAAGGTCTCCCGGGAACACCTCGCCCGGGCCAGCGCACAGCCCTGCCGATGGCCATGCCTGCAGCGCGCTCGGCGCTGGGCACGTGCTCGGTGGCACACATGTGGCAGGGCTGACGGGCCGGGTCGGGAATGTATTTATAAACATCGTCTTCAGAGCAAATTCCATTCTATCCTAACCCCTGGCTTGGTCCCTAGAGCCCTGGTCAGCACCCCTTGCAACCCCTTCCCCTCAGGGGCTTTGTCTTTTTGTCACTTTGTAATCCTTGCCCAGACGCTATCTATGGGGGACAGCATTTCCTGCCTTTGTTTCTGTCCCCGTTGGGCCCCTGGCTCCCTCTCAAAAGCATTCCCCGGACCCTTTCAAATCCGCCTGTGCTGGGGGGTCTCCAGGCTAGCGGGAGGGGGCCCTCGCTGGGCCTACCTATTGTTCACCAGTCCCACCCCCCATGTCTCCCACACCCCCACCTCATGCCCGCCTGGCCAGCCCTGGCCACACAATGGGGCAACTTCCAAATTTAGCCTTGCTGCCATTTCTTTCCAAGGCCCTGGCCCCACCCTCCGGCAGCCCCTCCACACCCCGGGTGGGGGTCAGATCTGCCCGAGGTTTTCAATAGCCCGCCTATGTGAGTGATTTTTTCCTAATCGACTTAACCTTTCCACCCAGCACTCTTTCCCCATGCCCTCTCCTTCAGGGGCACTGCAGGGAGGGATGGGCAGGCAGTGGCGTATGAGCAGCTACTTGGAAGCTCATCTGTCACTGGGCTCCCAAGGCCAGTCTCCTCCAAGCATGATCCCCTGGGACCTCGGTGGCTGGCCGGCTGCAGCCACCGGAGCCTTTGCCCTTTGCCCAGGGGGGCAGGGGGAGGTTGGTGGGAGCTCACCCCACAGCACCCCTTCACTTATTTACTGGCTCGGCACCCACCTGTGAGCCCTGCTTGTGAAGCCCTAGTTCAAAGTCCAAGTTCAGAGTTCTCCTGCCCAACCTCACCTCCCGGCAGCCGGCCTGGGGCAACCTCTTGAGTGGGGCCAGCCTGACCCAGCCACCAAGCCACCTGGTTGAGCAGGGAGGGGCTACGTGAATTCTCGGGCAGGGGGAAGCAGTCATCGCTGAGTGGGGGTAATCGTTGGAGAGGGGATGGGAGACAGAAACAGATTCAATGAGAGACAGGGTGAGAGAGACCAAAGCTGGTGGGGAACAGGCCCAGGGCTCCTCCAGAGCAGGCTTATTCCCCACCCCTCTCCTCTGCCTTCAGCCCCCCTGCACCCCAATGGCCAGCCCCCTCCCACCCCCTCTCCTCACTAGCAAGGCCATTGTCCGGCTCCAGAGGGGCTGTGGCCAGGGCAGGCTGGTCTCCCCCTGGGGATTCTGGGAATTTCTCCATTCAGCACTTCCTATGGGAACGTTGGGTGGAGGGGGGCATGGAGCCCGGCCCCGCCCTTTTGGACCCAGGAGGGTTCCTTACAGTAGCACAGGGCAAGGCTTATTTTTAACTCCACTGCTCTGGGTTCTGGCCAACAGCATGGCTGTGGAGCCCGGAGTGGGCCCGGGGAAATAGCCAGGGCCCTGCTTCCCCTGAGCCCATGGCTGTGTGATGTGGCCGGAGGCCCCTGCCCAGAGCCAGGACCCCGGGTGGACTCAGGGGCACTAGGAGGTGGGCTGTGCTCTGGGGTAGGGTGCCCAGGGAGAGCTCGTGCTCTGCTCTTGTTGCCACCAGGGCCCTCATGCCACAGCCAGGCCAGCCAGCAGTTGCCTGTGGGACTGGGGTAGAGGTCTGACCATGCCTTTTTCTTGCAGATGCAGACTGGCCTGAGCCGGACCTGAATTTGACCAGATCCCATCCCGGAGACCAGGCAGAGAGCTCCCGTGGGAGAAGGAGCCTGGGTAGGATTGGGATTAGAATGGCTGCCCCTCCCGGGGAGGGTGCCAGGGAAGGAGGATGGGGATCCTGGGGTGCACAGCTCCACCAGGGCCGGCTCGATGCACTTCCATCCCCTCACCCAGGGACCAAGCTGAACGCGGAGATGAGATGAGAGCCTTCCTCACCCCGTATGGGGGGCTGAGCCATCTCACTACCCAATACACAGTCTGTCTCCTGAATCCAGCGCCGCCTTTCACTCCTCCGGGCCTTATCTACTCTGAGGGTAGATCTTATTAGCCCCCCTTTGACAGAGTTGGAAACCGAGGCCCAGAGAAGGTCAAGAACTAGCCCGAGGTCACACGGCTAGGAAGTCGGAGTTGGAGGGGCTGGGATGCCAGCCGAGCTGTCCCTGGTGGGCTGTGTGGCTTCTTCATGGCCACGGCCCACCTCCAGCTCCCAGGTAGCGGGAGCAGGAAGAGAGGGAGGGCCACCAGGTCCCAGGAAACTTTCCCAGGCCAGGCGAGTGGCCACCCTGAACCCCTACTGCTCTTTGTACGCTGCCACGCCTGTGCTGCAGGCTGGGTGACCAGGGGGACCTGAGAGCCCCAACCCCCACTCCCTGCACACGGAGAACTGACCTCACTTTTGGACCCGCAGTTTCTTCACCCAGGAAAGACGGCAGTAGACTCCTCCTGCAGGCTTTGCTGGTAGAACAGTTTCCACGACCCCATGTAAGAAGCCGGCATGGGGGTGTCATCCCATTTCACAGATGAGGAACTGAGGCTTTGAAAGAAGCTACAATGTAAACATAAACTACAGCGTTGGGCATGGAAGAGGCTACAATGTAACTCAGAAGGAGCACCCCCCAGGGAGTGTTCAGGCTAAAGTGGCCATGGGTTAGTGGGAGGAAACGAACCTTGTTTTCTTCCTCTCACGATTGTGGTGACAATCTACCCAACAAAACGTGTAAGTCCCACAGATGCAGTTCAGCCACACGGGGACAGTCTTTAAGCTGTGTGCATCTCGCCACCCTCCTTTGCCACGTCATTTCACCACCGATTACAGAACTCAGTGCTCCCCACCCCAAGCAAACACTTCTCCATCCTCCCCCTCCGGGTGGGATGACTATCAAGGGGCCCTGGTGGCAGTGGGGTACCACCTGGGCTGCAAAGCTCAAAGTCGGTTCAAAAGCAGCAGAAAAAGACGAGGCTTTGGACTCCGGTGAAGAGTTAGTCTTGGAAAGCCACAGGGGCAGTTCTACCCTGTCCGGGAAGGCTGCTGTGTCTTGGATTGACTTGTCTGCTTATTTCCCGTGAGCTAACGGAGTGCCTGGCCCTTTGCGACTGACTGACTGCACCAGTCAGACGAGGCAGTGAGCTTGGTCCCTGAGTGAGCTTACCGTGACATGTTGGGTGCGCAGTGTATCCACCCCACTTGGCAACTGGGAAAACAGCTCGGCAACCTGTCCAGCAAGCCCCAGATGGACAACAGCTGAGTCCGAACTCACACCTTCCAGGGGCTGGACTCGTAACCGCCACCCAGGGGCTTCCAGCTTCTGCCAGGTGGTGGTGGGGAGTAAGGGGTCCCCAGCCCTCCTGACGGCCGCTGCCCTCTGATGTCCCCTCCCTCCAGACACCATGACCGTGGCCGAGCCAGCTGAAATCGCTGAGTGCAAGACTCGCACCGAGGTGTTCCAGATCTCCCGGCACCTCATTGACCGCAGCAACGCCAACTACCTAGTGTGGCCGCCCTGCGTGGAGGTGCAGCGCTGCTCCGGCTGCTGCAACAAACGCAATGTGCAGTGCCGCCCCACCCAGGTGCAGCTGCGGCACGTCCAGGTACACCCAGCTGGGGCCCAGCAACACTCCGGGGCTTGTCACTGACCTAACTTCCATTGTGGTGGCATAGCATTGGGGGGGGGCGCGCGGGGAAGGGATGGGGACTGAAGACATTTCTGGCCAGCTCCTGGGCTTTGCCCAGACAGGGCCAGTCTTGGGGAGCATACCTGGGCAGGTGTGCCATGCCACCCCAGTGTCTCCCGAGTTCTTTTAGGCCGCTGGAAGCAAAAGTCAGGGATAGATGGCCTCCAGGCAGGGCCGGGTGTGGGTGTGGAGGTGCTACCGTCTTTTTAGAGGTGGGAACCGCAGGGTTTCAGGAAGGGACCTGTCTAATGGCTTCCCTTCAGGCTTAGGTTTCTCTGGGGACTTGCCTAGGCCCTTTGAAGCCCTCCCTAGTTTGAGGCTCTAGTTCTGGAAGGAGAGTTCGGCTAGGTGGCTGTGTGTCTTTAAGCAGGAGGGTGCAGAGAGCCAGGCTGAAGACAGGGCCACTCTCTAAACAGTCACCACGCTGCATCCTCAAATCCTAAAGCGGGATTTGAGGAGCCCCCCAGTTTCCTCTGGGCAGCGCAGGGCCCTGGGAGCCTCAGGTGTCCTGACCCTTAAGTAAAGGTCTCTGTCGGCCAACGGCTGCTCAGGCCAGCCTTGCAAGCACACTGACTTAGGCAGCTGGCCGAGCTCCCTAGGCCCGGCGTGGTCGGCAAGCCCAGTCCTTCCGAACGCTCTGCACGCCCTGCCCTCACAGCACCCCATACCTGTGATCATGAGGTCACTCTCTCCCCCGCCCCAGCTGTCATGCTATCTCCTGTCCCCCGTGCTCCCAGCTCCATGCACAGCCACCTGACAGCTGACCTCCCCTTCCCGCCGCCCCCTCTGTAAAGCTGGCCCGCACTTCCTTCCAGACAGCCACCTCCCACCCCTGCTGCAGCCCCTGACCTTGGCTGGCGCTCCAGGAATGAGGACACCCCAGGCCTCACATTCACCCGGAAATGCCTTCCTCCCTCTCCGGGGGGCCAGCGAGTGGGGCCGTGGCCAAGTGGGAGGCCAGGTCGGGTTGTTTTGATGGAAAAGCTAATGGAAGGGCAGAGGGCAAGGCCCTGCTATTGTTTGGGCCACAGTGTTTGCCCTGTGGGGCCGTTCTTGGGCTTTCTAGGAAAGATGGAGTAGGGGGCCCTGTGGGGCCAGTGGATGGCTTGCTACAGTGGTGGTCTGGGGCTCTCATCTTCCAGGTGAGAAAGATCGAGATTATGCACAAGCAGCCAACCTTCAAGAAGGTCACAGTGACCCTGGAGGACCACCTGGCCTGCAAGTGTGAGACGGTGGTGGCGGCCAGGCCGGTGACCCGGAGCCAAGGGGCTTCCCAGGAGCAGCAGCAAGGTAACCCCTTCCTGAGCCTACCTCGGACACCCCTTCCCACCCTCCTGCCTGCCTGCTTCCAGCTCCGGCCCTTGGCCCTTGCTTCAGTTCATCTGAGCCTTTCCCTCTCAGAGAACAGCCCAGAGGCCAGCCCAGTCTCTAGGCCCCCCACAGAGCTGTGTTCCCAGCCACTGGGGAAACCAGGCCAGCCTAGCCAGGCTGACCTTCTGGAAAGGCTGGACTAGACCCACTGCCTCTGAGCCTTCCCAAACGCCCTTCCCTCTGCCAGTCCCCGGAGCCAGCTCTGCCCAAGCCCCACTGCTTTCTGAAGCTGCTTCTCTCACCTTCCTGCTCTAGAGGCAGGTCTCCCCACCCCCACCCCATCTGTGACCTCCTGCTTTGCTATGTGAGTGCTTGCAGGCGCCTAGAGCGCACACTCACTCACTCACTCACTCACTCACCAGGCAGAAACCCAACAGAGAAAGCAAACTCAGGGGGTTTCCTACTACAAGGAGAGTAAGACTGGACCCTTCCCTGGGACACCTGGCACCGCCATCCCTGAGGCCTTGGGGGTCAGGGGAGAACTAAGGCCCCTGGGGGTAAAGCCACCTGGAGAGAGATTTCAGCTCCATCTGTGGAAAAGCTGGCAAACAGTCAGGGTTCCTCTATGGAAGTGGCTACCCTGTGAGGTAGTGAGCTCCCTGTCCCTGGAGGTATGCAAGGAAAGGCCGGGCAACTGCGCAGCAGGGATGTGACAGATGGGGCTCTCAATAAAGAGAGTTCCATCCGCATCCTTAGATTTCATGAATTCCATCTCCCGGGCATCGCTTGACAGACAGAAAAGAGGAAGAGGACTTAAAACAGTCGTCTCATTTTACACAGATGGGACCCAAGGCCCAGACAGGCCGAGGTCTTGCCCAGGGTCACACAGGAATCCAGGTGTCACAACATTTGGCTTCTTGATTTTTCTCACTCCACGCCTGTCACTGGCTCCCACCTGCCTCGTTGGGTTTTTAAATGTTAGAGCGAGAATGGGCTGGAGTGATGGCCCCGCAGTCCTTCCGTGCTGCTGTAACAGGACTGCTGGAGCACAGAGAGGTTCAGCAATTTGGTAGAGGTGGCACAGCGGCAATGCCTAGCCTGGAACCTAAATCTTGTGACATCTAGGTGCTACCAGCTAAGTCTTGCTGCCTTCAAATGTTTGCAGTGAAGGTCAAAGGAACACGATGAACTGTGATTCATTGTAACGATTAATGACAGGAGATCACAATGCTGTGATCATTCATAAAGTTGGTAATGGGGAAGGGGCAGTTCTCCTCTGTCGTCCAAGGTCCCCATGAGTTAAAGTCAAGTTGCCGGCCGGTGGATTTGGTTAGTATTTTTCTCCTATTCACAAGCCCCCTGCAGGCATGGCCTTCTCTGAGCCCCTCCGTCCCATTTTCAGGTGACTCTCAGCGACTGTCTGTGCCCAAGTGGTGGACACCTGGGCAGCTTCGTCCGGGCATTCCCTCAGAGGGCACCAACCCGGGAAGGCTCCCCTTCCCTCTGCCCAGGAGAGGGCTGGTTTGTACGCAGTAAAGGCTCGCGGTTTTCCGAGCCAATTGCTTAGGTTGCAATCGATGGAGCTGTAGATAAAATGGAAGTTCCTTCAAGGAAGGCTGTCTCAGCAGTTTGGCCCTGTGGGTCTTGGGCCCCCTGAAAGCTTGGGGGTGTGGCCCGTGGAAGTGCAGACACGCTGTCTCTTCTGGGCTGGGTGCCTGAGCTTGCGTGGGCTTTGCCTGGCCCAGGGTCCAGCGGGTGGCCTGGGCTCTGGGGTGGGGACTCTCTGAGCCTTTTCATGGCCTTCCCTGTGTGGGTACCTGAACCCAGGAGTCCCTGGACTGCTAGAGGAGATCATGTGTCCAGGTGGGTCCTATCTGACAGCCAGAGGCCAGGTGTCAGCCCCAGAGGGCCCAGTGAGCCGGGGGAGTGTGGAGGCCCCCAAACCAAGACTGGGGAGAGCTGGCAGGGACAGCTTTCCCGACAGGTTGTCACCTGGGACCTCAGGAGGGAAGTGGTCATTACCTCGTGTGAAGCTCACTGTCCTCTGTCAATCAAATTGAGGCCCACTCAGGGAGGTTACGGAGGCTGACAGTCTTTATGGGAGCAGCCAGCCTCGTCTCTCTCCCTCAGAGGGACTGGGAGGTTTGAACCGCCAACCTTACCTGACAGGGCTCCTTTCACTTATAGCAGAGCAGTTGAAATGACAGACTCTAGAAGGAGGTCCCTGGGTTCAAATCCCAGCCTCTCTGCTTCATTTTCCTCATGCACTTAGAACAGCACCAGGGCCTTGGTGAGGTGTTGTTTCAGGGCTTGTGGTTATTTCCATATCGAAGGGGAGCTTCAAAAAGTAAGTGGGGAAAATGGAATGGAAACATAATGGAACTTTTCCACAAACTTTTTGAAGCCCCTTCCTGTTATCTCTGGACTCCAGGAAGCCAGGCTGCTGTTTTTTCTGTTGAAAGATGTGGCGTTTCACGGACTTGCCCTAAAGCACCCAGTCAATACATGAGAGAGGCAACATTTGAAGCCAGGTCTGATCCATAGCCCTCCCTCCACTCGCTCCACTGTATCACTTCTTGGGACAGGAGGGTCAGGCGGATGGCAGTCACAGCTTGGGCTAAAAGCCCCAGCTTGAGTATGGCTCCCCTCCTGATGTCCGGCCGACCCCCCATCATGGGGCTGGAAGGTGCTGAGAGACTAGCCGGGGAAAAGTCCAACCGGTTTCAAGCGGAGGAAATAAGACATAAGTGAATCATAGCAGCTGCCATGTATAACTTCTTACGTAGATTTCAATGGCTTAAAACCATCTTTTCTCTCCTGCGTCTGTGAGTTGACTGGGCTCAGCCGGGTGGTTTTATTGGCCTGGTACGGCTGCAGATGTCAGCTGGGGCTGGTGTGATCAGGAGGCTTGTCCCAAATGTTGGATTCTTCCCCACTGAGTCCCCAGGTCTCGCCTCCCCATGAGGGTCCTCCAGGGGACCACCCCAAATAACCAAAAGACAAACAAATCAAAAAGCCAACAGCAACACAACACACACACACACACACACACACACACACACACACACACACCCCTCTGACGCCCCCACACCCCCCATCAGGGATCTTCTAGAACAGAGTAAAAGTTTATGGGAATAGACAGCGTTCCGCTTTCTCCCTCAGAGTGGCTGTTGGGGTTGAACTGCTGACCTGGTTAGCCACAGAGCTCTGCAGCGCACGGAGGCGGCAGCTGCTAGGCCTTCTTAAGCCTCAGGCCTGCAGCTGGCACAACATCGCGCCTTGTATTGGTGGCAGCTGGCCCAGGTGAGAGTACAGACACCTCATGGCTCCTTGGCTGCGGTCTTCAGGGAAGCAGAGTGCCAGGTTTTTGCCGGTGGCAACCTTTCGGTTAGCAGCCGAGCGTTTCCTCGATGTGCCCCCTGGCCGCCTCTTTCACTGGCTCCACAGGCCCAGTCCTACCCAGATTCAAGAAGCGGGGAAAGGATCGCCCTCTGAGGGAGAAAGACGGGGCTTCCGACCCCTGTGAGGCGTTTCAACCTACAGGGGGCCGTTCTACCCCGTTTTATAGGGTTGCTACGAGTCAAAATGAAACGGATGGTAGTGAGTTCTGTTGTGTGTTGTTTCCCCCCCGGAGGGGCGAGGATGCCATCTTGAAGCTGTCCCAACGTTCTGCAATCGGATGACAATTTGTTTCTCCGTGTCTTGTTATCCCCATTGCACGGGTGGAAAACTGGGGCGCAGTTTGAGGGTCAGTAAGTGGCCCCAGGACACACACAGCTGCCAAGCAACCGAGCTGGGATCTGAGCTCAGAAAGTCTGCTCCCAGAGCCCCCTCTGGCCTCGCCCAGCCCACGGGGTCTGAACTGGTTCAGAAGGATCGTCCTCCATGGGCTGATGATACTTTTCTTTCTCCCGAGCAGCCAGGACGCCCCTACCGCGGAAGACCATCCGGACAGTCCGAGTCCGCCGGCCCCCCAAGGGGAAACACCGGAAATTCAAGCACACACAGGACCACGACAAGAAGGCACTGAAGGAGACCCTTGGCGCCTAGGGCCATCTGCAGGGGAGTGCGGGCAGGTGAGGACCGGACGGGAAACAAAGACCCTGCACCTTGATCATCTTTCTCCCCCGCCTGTGGCTGCAGCTGTGGACCGGCTGGGGCTGGGCTTTCTTGAACACCCTGGCCAGGCTCTAAGCCTTGGTTCCTTGGTGCCCTGTCA